TTCTTTTTGTCACTAATTCTAGGGTGCGATATTTCAGTTTCCGCATATCGGGTATGATCAAATATAGTAAAAAAAATTTGATAAATCGTTGTGCCTTTCATATATATCGAGGAGAAATATGTTGATATTTATCAGTTTTTTTGTGAATATTATAAGTTTTTTTGTGAATATCTTGATAAAGTCTAAATTATTTCAAATATTTTTAAAGAACTTGAGCCTTTAATAATATTTTAAATTTTTATAATTTTTTTAAAAGGGTATTGAAGTAGTTTTGATTGATTTATTGTATAGTATAGGTACTTATGATTTAACTTAAAAAAACCATAAACACCTTTTTGCGCGATCATCAATTTGTTTTTCATGGTATTGATTCTTAATTCAAATATTAATAAGTTCAAAATTATCGCATGTATCACAATTCACAAATAAATGTAAGAATGCTTTAAAAAATCAAAAAGTTCTTTATCTGAAGAATTTATTCAGGAAATCGTTTTAATAATTTTTCAATTATAAATATATCTCAAAAAAATTATAGTTTAATTATAAATGCTTGTATCCTGAGTACTGTCCATCTGTATTCTAAATCGTTTATTGCCTCTTTAATTCGTTTTCTAAGAGTAGTGTTTGCAACGGTCCGGTCCCGTCCGGTCCACTTTTTCTAAAATGAGACCGAACCGATGGACTGTTTAGTCAAGTGAGACCAGACCATGGGACCATCGGTTTAGTCCGGTCGGTCCTGTCTCATCTAAAAAATGTTTTTTTATTAAGCTATAAAAATTTTATTCTGCATTTAATTTATTAAAAATGAAAAATGTTATTATTACCAATATTTTAATTATATCATCAAATCATTTTTATTATATAATACACTACAAATTACCTTATTAGATTAAATTACTTGACGAATGAATTGAATGAAACGGAAGATATAAAAATTAAATGAGTTATTATAAAGTGTTAGGCATTAAATAATCATGTTTTATCTGTTCATGTACATGTACATTAACTAAAATGTAATTCATAGTAAACTTTTATCTTCTTTAATCTTCGGTGGACCAGACCTTTACAAACACTAACGTAGATGTATAAATTTGCCTCATTCTAGAGGTCATTTTTCATAATAAGGCAATTTAGGCACCCCTTCCTTTGAAGTATAAGTTTTGAGTTTTCTTTCTATTCTTTGAGGAACCCTCTTTAAATGTTTATTTAATATTAGATCATAATTATTAATTAGATAAGTAAATATTATAAAGTAATAAGAAATTTGCTCCGTAGGTATAAGTTTCTGATTAATGGAATCTTACATATTATTATAATTGGACACTTTAAATGATTCATCCTCTTAATTATAATTAGTGGATCAGGAGTATGCTACACTGATGAGACCTAAAAAGATTTAAACCCGTCTATAAAATTATTTAATATCTATAAATAGGATGAAAATTGATTTCATATAGGGGAGACGGAGTTACCAAGCAAATTCTAATAACATCTTAATAATTTAAACTAAATAACTGAAATTTGGGTAAAATTGAGCTTTACATCTGCTAATAATTTGGGAGTCGAAATTGTTTTCTGTATATTTATTCATTAACTTGACAACAGCATCGATAAGTGGATGTATAAATGCATCATAATAATTTACATCTTCAAAGTGTCAAAAAATGATTATTAAAATGATCTAAAAAATAAATGTCTTATTACAAAAATGTTAGCAATATATCTATTTATTAATCGATACTAATCAATGATCAAGTAAGGCAAAACAAAAATAAAATGTTCTTCGTTTAAATTAAATTTAACTTAAGTAATAATGTAAATTGTAACGCAATAAAATCATACCGAAAACGACATCAAATTCTTGCGGGCCATAATGTCAATAACAGGAGAAGAAAAAAGTGTATTTGTATAAATTTAACATATTTATAATTTAAAAATAAATTATAAGATGTTAGAAATTTTATCAGAGTATTCTTACCTAAAACTCTCTTATAGAATGCGCTTGAAAATCAATTAATCCGGTTCAAAAAATAAGGGAATTAATGGATCAAGGTTATAAAGAAATGTCAATAAATAAAATAAAAGGAGTCATTATTATTTTAAAAGTTTATATGATATCATAGAATGGAATACTATTCGATTATGAAAGAATTTAATTCTTCTGAGGCCAATTGTAAACTTGATAAGAATATTTCTTTAATACAAAAATAAATAGTTACAGCATGTTTAAGGGTTCATTCTTAGAAAAATATTTTATCACCTTTACTGATGAAGTTATTTTTTTTAATGTAATTTTAGTCAATGATTTATCAAATATTTTTCCCATTTAAATTGGCAATAGTTAACGTCTGAATAATATTAATTTTATATATTATCTTTGACGAATTATGAGATATTTTTTGTCTTATTAGATGGATGGAACCTTTACACCTTGTTTTGGATTTTTATGTATAAACCTATCTACAACTATTAAGCAAACATAAAATAATATTGAGGAAAGTATAATCATATTATAGTTGTAAATTTCTAATATTCCTTATCAAATCATTCATTTTTATGTTTTGTATATTATGACACAAATTATAAATAATAATTATGTTTTGTATATTATGTCACAAATTATAAATAGTAATTAGGGTTTTACCGTTATTAAATATGAAATAAGATTGGGGTCAATATTTACGTTTAAAAAATTATCGGCCAAATATTTTTTTACAGTAATTTTATCAGGGCCGTAGCCACAAGGGTTGCCCTCCCCAATAAATTTCGGCCCCTAGACTTGGCCTCCAAGTTTTTTTTGCCCACAGAAATGACCTTCAACAATATTTCCGTCCTCCAAATTTCTTAAAAAAATATTAGTCATGAAGTTTTTTCTCACTAATCATTAAATGAAATAGCAATATCCCCATTTTTTATTCTTCCAGCTCTCTTATCGTGGGTTAAGTTCCACTACTATAAATAATTGGTACAGATAATTATTAAATTTATTCTTTAGAATTATTTATCGCAATGCTTTCATATACCTGCCAAAAGGATCAAATAAATTATAAGAATAATACCAAAAAATACCCAATACACCACCCAAAATTAAAAATGAATATCTATTTTGGTGAAAATGGTATTAGATGTTATCTCAACAAATTATAACAAAAGCGAGATACCATGATACCATTTGTAGTCTTAAGGCTGAGTATTTTACGATGATTTAATTGCATACATATAATAAATGATAGTGCAAATATCATATCTTGTCGAAATGAAGGAGTACAGACTTTGCTCGAAAAATTAATAAAAGGTGATTGCTTCAGCCTCTTGTTAAAATTGAAGTCAATATTATTGTAATTTTTTATTTTTTAATTTAGCAATGCATTTTACAATTATTTTAGGCATTTTAACATACTTTTTAAATATAAAAGCCATGCACAAGAGACTTTTAAAAATGAGTTGGACTGGTTATATCTCATATATCATTAATAATAATTTTAAGCTATTGGTAAAATATTATTATTTTTTTTCCAATAGAACTCTTAACTCATATATAAAAAAGGAAAAATTTATTTCGTGATGGTTTAATTTAATATGATTAACACTTTAGATATAAAAGTCAAAAGGTAGTTTTATATTTGTAAATCGCGACCGAAAAGGGTTTATTAAGATATAATTATTATAAAATGATTGATTATTTTGTTCAACAATTTTTAAGATCTGGCGATGATTACAACTTTGTAGCTTGTTTTGATACATTGGCTCTCCTCTCTCCTTAACCTAAATTATTGTATCCTATATAAAAATGCCCCAATATTTTGCATATTAAGCTTTAACGAATAATTACATCATGAAATAAAAATTGCAGAGGGATTATTAGCGGCTGAAGTAGCGGAGAGAAATATACACTATTTTGAAGACGTTATTACTAATATTATATATAAAAAAAGTATCATATTACCTTTAAGCAATTGTATAAATGCAAATATTAATAATTTAAATGCAATTTTTTAAAATTTACAATTTATATAAATATAAATGGTATAAATTCTAAAATATTATAGATATTACTTAGTGATAACGATAAGATTTGTGAAAAAGGCATGTTAATTTATGTGTCGGTCTTAAACCATATCCACGCTCATTTTATCTGAGCATAATAGTTGAGATGAAGTTATTATACAAGATTTAGAGATTGATGCAACTTAATGAAAGGCAGGAGAAAATACCTAAAAAGGGCCAACGATTGCTGAGAAAAGTTTTGGAAAGATAATTACTGGATTTGGCGATTTCAAAAAATTGCATAAGAAGGAAAATATTTTGTATTTTTAGGTCCTAAGCTGCAGCACCCTGATTTATATATTTTATCCAAAATCTTATTTACTGTTCCTGCAACCCAAGTTAATTTATCATATTTTCATATAAATATTTTTAATATAGATTAGCGTTGGAAGATGTTATTCACATTTGAAATCCATTCATTCACCGCAAGCGAGGATGAGTGAGCTAACACCTCTTGGAAGATATCAAGCGAACTAAACCCGGGTTAAAAATTATACCCCTGAACTGAACCCGAACCAAACCCACTTAGTTTTTTTTATCTTATACAGAGCCCGGTTACTTTTTATCGGGTTCAAACTCCTGTTATTATAAACTTCTCACGAGGACTCATTCTTTATAAAAAAAAATAACCCAGAACTTGGATTTTAATTAAATGTTTCTAATTGGTTAAAATATACATTATTCATCATTTGAGTAAGTTTTTAATTAATATATAATAAAATTAAAGAACAAAGAATAAAACATATAGACTCATGGCAAATCGCGAAGCCTGAACAACTCATTAACTAAATATTTCTGAATTTTATTCAAGATTATTATACCAATTTACAAGTAGATATGTTATAAAAGCAATATTCTGCTAAAAACACCTACCATTGTTTATAAATTTTTTTTAATATATAAATAATATGATTATTCAAGAAATTCCTAAAAATTGCTGAGATGAATAAAACTTTAGCTAGCGCAGAATATTAATCGAGGAAATTCTGAGGATAACCAGTCTTTTGGCCTACTTGTCGAAACTCTTGCCCGAAATATTTCGCTTTACAAATTATGTTTTAATAAACATGTTGATGGGTATAATTTTATTTTATAACGATATATTATGATAATCTTTACTAAGTATATTATATATATAGCATTTAGTATATAGATTACAGGAATATAAAAATTATGAGGCTAAAAATATAATATATTTGAAAAGGACCTTTAGAATTTTTTTCCATATAGACACTTTATGTAGGTAACTATTTACAAACCTCGCTCGATTCAGAAATTACATTTTTATTTAAAAATTGCTGATAAATAAAATTTTATAAATGCATATATCCCATAGCGGAGCGCCATATTATAAATATTTCTTATATTAGTCTCAGAAATAGCTTATATTTACAACTTTTAGGGTCTGTCCTGGTTCGACTCAGCCAGCTGTTTAGCCAGCTATATTGCGTCGATTAAATGATCTAAAAAGTGAGAGACGAAAAAACAAAAAAAAAATGAGGAAAAAAAAAGAAAAATAAAAATGCCATCAAATATTTAAAACAAACCAAAATAGGTGTCCTAGTTTAAAAGCTGTTTAGTCTAGGCTAAAAAGCTATGAAGTATCAAAATTAAATCGAACCTATTTTCTCGTTTTTTTGTTTTTCGGTTATGTTTTTTAGTTTGTTTTTTTTTTAAATTTTGTTTTAGATACTTTAAAGCAGGGACCCGAACTTTTATTTATAACGATTCAGTTTTGTTGCAGTTCAATATATAAAAATTTACATAGGTTACGGTTCTTAATAAAAATTCTTAAAGGTTCGGTTCAGCTAATTGTAAAGGTTTATAAAGGTGCTTTGGGGTAAAAAAAATTTAAAATTAATTTCATTAAAGCAACACCATCAAATATGATTTCAATTAATAATTATGAATATTTTTATTAAAATTTTTCCATCACTTAAGTTAATATATTGTTTATTTATAAAATAGATAAAATTCATTTTTTTATTTATAAGTATCTGTGAATGAATATATATAAATTATAAGCATAACTCTGTATAATAATATATTAATGTGTCTTTATCCATTTTAGTTATCATAGAATTTAATACTGCTCAATAGAAATGGCTATTTCTATATTGATGGCAAAATGGATTTGGAAAACTTTAATTTTTTATAGTTAGGGATTCATTCTAGAATGATGTCTTTGAATATGCTTTTCCAAATGAGCTCCATGATCACCTTTTAATATGATTTTGACTTATCTATATTGCAGGCTAATTCCTTTAAGAGAATATTATAAGTAAAAAAGGAACGGACTGGGTTAACTTAGGTGCGGACCATTTAAATTTTTTCTAGAAGAAAATAGGATAAATTTTTTATATTATCATTACTAATTAGAATTCACCATCAATTTGCAAAACCACATCATATGAATATTATATGTTTAAAGGTTTGCAATTCCTCACGTCTAGGAAATAATATAAAAAACAGATTTGAATAACTTTGCAAATACTTGTATTGGCAACACAAAATCTATTCTTCATAATAAAAGGTATAACAATACTAATACTTTAAAACAGGGTTGTGTATCGTCAGGTTAAATGTGGTCTAAAAAATTAAAACCTTATAAATTTGGTCAATTTGAAATTTATATGGGATTGAGAATAATGGCCTTTCTATCTAACTACTCATGGGTAGGTTTTTATACTTATGTTAATTTAATAAATACAATTAAATCAAAAATCTACAAATTGGTTATTTAGATATTTTATATACTAAAATAGTGAAATAGGAATATGACTCTAATATTAAGAAGAAGTTAAATAATACATACCTTTATGGATATAAAACAAAAATTTTGATAATTTAATAATTATAAAATAGATTGATACCTTAAAATGACGCGGATATAGTAAAATATGTAATACCACAAGGAAAAGAATGTGGACAAAAAAAATGTAAAATTATTTATTTTAATATGGTTGCTTTTTACTCCTTCAAAAAATAATTATATCGGTTCCAATATTTATAAAAGTTTAAAACGGTTTAGCGGTTTATTCCGGTTCATCACGGGTCCCTGCCTTTAAGGGTTGCTTAATAATAAATTGACATAGGACACAGCCTTAAAGTTTATTCTTATAAACAATATTATGTAACTTGAAATATCTTAATAGTTTTAAATTTGTAAAATAAATTTCATTTTTTAAAATCTTTTCCATTCAAAATATCTTATATAAGTATATAGCATAGAAGTATCCTGCAAAAATTTTAATAAAATAATTTTATTATACCACAATCAAATGGCCTTTAATATCACATGCTATTATGTAAGATTATTAACTGCAGTAGGTAGACGGTATTGAACTCTAGGATCTACAAATGTCATTGATATACATACATATTCTAACTTTTTTTAGTAAAAACCCTCCTGAAAGAAGACACAAGTTAATATAAAAATTAAAATTCTAATCAAAGAAAACTACAATTTGAAATAGGATAAGAGAGGGTGGTAAAAAGGAAGTGATATATTTATGATATGAAAGAGGACAAATAATATAAAACTTGTTTCTTTTAGTGAATTTCGTTTTTGATCCTCCATCAGCCATTTAGAGTTATCCATCAAATCCAGAGTGAAATTACGGCTGAACTTTGAATTTTTTTCTTTTTTTGTGTCCCTTTTCATTCTTGTCCTTATGTTAATTTTATTGTTAATATTTATCAAGCTGAAATTTTTTTGGTTAATCGCATTTCTTTGATCTTTTAATAAGATGGAGTCTAAATTCGATCTTTTATTCGAGTCCATTAAAGTGGTTAGCTTGCCCTTGGCTGCCAAACATCTATGGCTTAAACAGATCTAAGTTTTTAAACATTTTTTTCAATAAAAGAAAAATTTAAAAGAGTTACAAACATATTAGTCTAGTTATTTCGGTTTTTTTAAACAACAATTTAAAAAAGTTCAGCACGTTTTAGTCACTCCATTTTAGGAAATTCGGGTAACGTGCTATAACTTTATGATAAAGTTATATACCCAGCAGAGATCTGCATGGGCCTGGTACCTTGTGCAAAATTTTTTTACCTGTTGAGCCAACCTGGAATTTCACTTTAAAAAAAAATTAAATGGATTAATTTTTGATTATTTCTCTTGCAAAAAAAATATTACAGGCCAAGGGGCAACTTTTACAAAAAGATTTAACTGGCCGTATCAAGAATTCTGTGTAAATAATTTTAGTGTAAAGAATTTTACGTCCTTTTAATCTCTAATACCCATTTTTTTAAAAAAAGACTTATCTCAAAAAATTGCCCTCATATTAATGGTTCCAATATGAATTTTTTTTTTTTAATTTACGGTTGAAATTAACAATTAAAATGAGAAATAATGTAAACTAAGAAAATAGAATAACAAAGTAAATACAGTTTCGAAAAGCATTTGTGACTGATTTATAATTTCTGTAGTTAGCAACTAACAACAATTTTTGTCTTTATAATATAAGAATATATATATACAGGGTTCTAGATGAATCCCACCCTGAACCTCCATACCCAGATTAGAAATTTTTTTCCCAAACCCATATCAAACCAAACTTGAGTCCAAAAATATTTAGGTTTATGAATTTGGACCAAACCCCATTTTTTCCTGACAGGGTTCAGGACTAGTCATTTCATGCTTAATTACTAACATTAAAAATTATTTTAAGTCCAAACTTCATTTTTTGCTTTTACTTCTAACGCATTAGAATACATCTGCCCCCTATCTAAAAATATTTGAAGGGGGGGGGGGTTAACTATTTATTTGGGAGAGCTAATATTTTTTGAAATAAAACAAAATAGTTAGGCACTCATAAATTTTTTACTATTTTTATTGAAAATTTGTAAAAAATATTAATTTACAGAATAATACTATATAATAAGACGATTTTGGTTTTTAAATTTTAACAAATAAAAATTAATTTTGGGTTATTTTTTTTCATATATCATTAAAACTTAATTTTGTATTCTCTATCTTTCATTGACTCTCTAAACAATTGGAAGTACAACCTTTAAAATAAAGATATTGACTAACTTACGTTATACTAAAATATTATGGGTGGAAATAAGTAAATGTAAGGTATCTCCCAGAGTACCTTTTGGTACCTGAGAGTGGTTCAGCTATACTCCATTAAAAATTAAAAAAATGGGTATTTCAAAAAATTATTGCCCACTTTATAGTAAAATATTTGTCCTCTTTGTATCTTAATCCTCTATAAAAAAATTTATTTTAATATTTGATATGAATTGATCAATAATTAAAGTTTAAGGATGATCGCATGGTAGGCAGGAAGTAGCTTGCTATTTTTAATATCTTAAACTTTTGAAAAAATATTTTTCCTTTTTCAATTATTTTGAAATATTAAATTAACAAACCATCTTTTGGAATATATTCAATTATTACAAAATTCTGATTGTTACTGGTTATGAATGGTTGAAAACATTACCAAGTCGCAACCTAGGTAACCTCTTATCAGATGAAAGAGGTGCCACAGTCCATCGAATTGGATGTAATAGTTTAACCACATACATACAAAATTAAAACATCTGGGAGCCTGCCAATTTATCATTAGATGATGGCCTAAGGCCAGATAGTTTAACTTCTGTACCTTGGAGGGAAATCCTTAATTTGTAAAAATGTAAATTTTACCTAGCCAAAAAAAAACAATTAAATATTCGAAATTAACAAATTATAATTTTTTACCAATCGATATCTCTTCCCTAGAACACATGTCAATTGGAATTTTAAAATTTAAAAAAAATATAAATTGTAAAATAAGAGCCCTTGCATCAGAACCCAAAAAATATTATTTTTTAAAGCAAAATATACCATTTTAAAATATAATTATTCATGTTTTTGAGGAACTTGTCCCACCTCCGTTTTTATAGAATGAGTTTTTATAATATTGAGTTTCGCTTTATTTATTTTAATTTTATTGTGATTTATTTTTTCAAAGTTGTTTTTTTTGCCCTTTGGAAGTAGATATGTCTAATATAGGGTATCAATCGATAGCTAATCAAAAGATCTATTCAAATGGAGGTCAAACTCTCCCCCTTAATGGGCGAGCCTAGTAGGAATATTTTTATCAAAACAAAATATTGATATGGGTATAAAGTAATAGCTAATTTAAATATCTTTTGACTATTCAATCTTGATCTTGATGGGTAGGACTTTGCATGGGGGGGCGGGGGGGGGCTAGAGACAATCTTTATATGGGTATCAAGTAGAAGGTAATTAAAATATCTTTTGATTGTAAAAATAATTATCACTCTTGGTGGCGGGTCTAGGTCTTGGGGGGTCAAGAATATTTTTATCACACAATATTGATATGAGTATCAAATAAAAGCTAATTAAAATATTCTTTGACTGAAAGTATTCATTCTTTATCTTGATGGGTACTACGACTTGGTCTGGGAGGGGGGAGGGGTTAAATTTTTTTTATAGTATCAAATAAAAGATAATTAAAATATATTCTGAATAATAATTATTACTCTAAGTAGGCGGGTCTAGGTCTTAGGGGGTCAGGAATATTTTTATCAACTCAAAATATCGATATGGGCATCAAATAAAAACTAATTTAAATATCTGTTGAATGAAAGTATTCACTCTTGATTTATTGGTTGTATTTAATCTGGGAGCTTTGGGGGGGGGATGTAGATGAGGGGAGGATGTAGATGAGGGGGGGGATGTAGATGGTGGGATAAATTTTAAAATGGCATTATAAATTTCATTGTTGTTATAAGTGTTATTACACTTCTTTACAAGCAAACCATCCATATTTTATATTTTTCCTATTTGACTATATAATCGACACATATAAATTTTCTTTGATAATTGAAATTAAAAAAATATTTTTAAAAAATTATATATTTAAATTTTATAAAAAAAATTAATACCATTTTTGAAAGATTGTCATCGTTTATTATTCAACTTTTCAGCAATTGCAAATTGATTGACCATAAGAAGAAACACTTCTTGATATCGTTATTATAGAGATTTTTTTAATTAGAAACTAGTAATTATTAAATATTCTTGATTTGTCAACATTAATTCCATAGTTTCTCGCCCCTCTATATGGATAATTTTTGTTTCAATATTTATGGGGCATCGATTTAATAGGGGTGTATCGATACCATTTCTTGGAGGCCGATCCGAAACGATATTACCGACGTTTAACGATCCGATATCTAATCTGATTTTGCGATTTGGTAAAAAAAAATATCGGTACATCTCTAGATTTGATCTATCATTTTTATTTATTGGGAATAATAGGTGATCCTTACTGGATTTTTAATTTTTTTTATTTTATTGTAAACATTTTCATGCTTCCTATATCTATTGGATGAGCAATAAACGAAGGCAATTTAGCTATTGCCTATTACGATCGAATTTCATTTTCTCCAAAAATATATTTAATATTTTTAAATAATTCATAAAAATTCTGACTTTTATTTTGTGAGCAATCACTATTCCCTCGGGTTCATTAGTTTTATCTTCGTAGTCGGATAAGAAATTGTGGTGAAATCAGGTTTAATATAATAAATATATAAAAATGAAGAGTCAAATTAGTGGCTTATTTGTGAGTTGGGATTTAATTTTAAGTTATTGAGTGCTAAATAAAAAATATCATCTTTTATAAATATAATTAATTATTTGCATTTTCCAATTCTTTACTATTTTTATTTTATAAATAATTTTTTATCGATGTCACCTGATAATAAAATTATTAAGAAAATTTTTATAAATATTTTTTATATTAAAAACAACACACAAATAAATATTATAATTTTATAATTGGTGATAGTAGTAGAAATAAATCTTTTTTCTCTTTTATTTCTTAAAATTCTATCCAACCCGACATTTTATTATTATATTGAGGGCATAGCTGCTAAAGAAAATCTAAGTCTTTTTAACGAGGTCTCTATTGTGACAGAAAATTATGTAGCCTACCATTAATGCATTACGATCTATCTATTTACTTGAAAGCCTAATTGGTAAATAACGAACTTCCCAAGTATTGGATACCCATATTTAATTTATATATTATAAAATTCTTTAACAAATTTTGACCCCCTCACGCCTAGACGACCTTTTATTGATATTTAACATTATAGTCAAAAGAAATTTCAAATACCTTTTAATTTTATTTTATTTTTAACCCCCCCCCCCCCCCAACCTTTATTCAACCCATTAGGAGACCAAGGGTGAATGCTCTTATTTTAAACAAAAGAGATAATCATATCAATATTTTGTGTTGGAATAAAATTTCTTGAACCTATAAGACCTTAACCCCCACCCTCCTTTAGAATAATAATTAACATTACAATCAAAATATTTTTAAATTACCTTATATTTGTTATCCAAATAAAATTATTTTTATTTTTACCCTTCCCCCCTCTAGTCTAAATCCAACCCATTAAGACCAAGAGTGAATACTTTGAATCTAAAGATATTTAATTTAGTTTTTTTTTGATACCCATATCAATATTTTGTATTTATAAAGTATTCCTAACCCCCCCCCCTACCCCCTTCAGATAGACCCTGTCACTTAAAAGTGTTAATTATAGAATCAAAAAATATTGTAATTACCTTTTATTTGATACCCACTCCTCCAGATCTAAGCTCGACCATGAAGAAGAGGTTCTCGTTGATACCCTATATTAGACATGCCTAATTTCATAAGGCCAAAAAAAACAACTTTAAAAATTATTAAATAACAGTAAAATTAAAAATAAATAGAGAGAAACACGTATAAAACGCGTTTTAAAATAAGATTCCCCTATATCATGGTTAAAACATGATAATACCATATTATCATTCCTTAACTTAAAACCGTAATTTTTAGTTCCTTTAAAACCCGTAATGTCCCGGATAGTACTTGATCCCTTTAAAAATTGTAACTTAAAAAATTTATACATGTATTGTTACGTAAATATTGATAAATGATTTTAGAAGTATTCTAAGATATTTTAGTAATTTTTATTTATTTATGAATGGCCAAATATTTTTAGAGCGGGGTAATCAATTTTAACATTCCAATTTTAAATATCGAAGCACAACTTAGGTGAATCGAAAATATAAATTATTAATTAACTATAAATTTTATATAAAAAAATAGAAAATATATTATATTAGTGTCAATGTGTTTTTTAGACAATGTGTTATTTTTCAACTATAAATCATTTTTTGAGCTCGTTTTCTCGATGCATTCCATAATGTTTGCAATGATGCCTACCCTATGAATTTCAGACAATTTTGCGATGAACTTTTGAACATAATATAATTTATATTGTTTTTTCATAGAATTTATAAATGACTCAAAGGTTAACGGTAAAATTTTCTACAATTCATAAAATAGGTATACCAAACATGTTGAAAAACATTTTCGGTAAAATCAGGTTTTTAAATTTAAAAAGCTACATTTATATAGCCTATTCAATTCCTTATTTTTATTTCAATTATTTTACAAGTTACAATTTTAGATCTTTATATGACTTATACCGATAATTATATATATTATTTTCTAAGAAAATTAGCAAAATGCAACATCAGATCATAGTAAATTATAATTAATTAATGATATACTTTTCTGATACCGCATCTAGTCCCTTCTAATGCTGTGAAAGTTGTAGCGCCTAAAGGTGTATTAGTGCATTGCACCACTTGACAGACTCTCTTTTATTTTAATAAAAATCATGTATATACTTAAAATATATATAGTAGTTTTTTCTAAACAAAAAAGTTTGGTGATTGATTTAGAAAAAATGGCTTTAATTAATCTTATTAATTCATATTTAATTTATGAAGGACATAATGTAGATCAATAATGGAAATCGAGTACTTTTAAAAGCAGTCAATTTATTATATATTTTTGTCAAGGGTTATAATTTTCGGTCAAATTGCGAACCTTTCCTATATATATATCTCTCAGTTTAATAGTCAGAAATCGGGGAATAATAGCTTATAATATCTTTTACGGTAACAATGGTGACTCAGAATCTATATAAACTTGTAGGCTTTGAAAATTATACATATATTTTTTTATCTATAAAATTTTTTTGGTAAAATTTATTCGGAACTTGAAAATCAAATTTATAAATTAAATTGCTTGTCAGAGGAGTTTACTTTCTATATAATAATAAATATCAAGGAGAAAGAATATTTGTTAAAAAAGGATAGTTTTTCTTTAACTTCCAGTTTCTGCAATCTGTTCCATCTGCTTTGTTTGGAATAAGAATTTTGGCATTGTTCATCAAGAGAATACATAGAACCTGGAAAGTTTAGTCCGCCAAAGGACCTTTCTGTGGGTGTTAAGGGATACATTTCAAACAAGCAATTGTATTCTGGACCTCTATTTAAATCAAATATAATTGATACTTAAAAAGTGTTAATTTATTTCTCTAGGACTTCTTGTATTAATTATATAGATTAATATGCTATCCACTTTTGTAGAATTTTATTGGTCCTAACTTACAGATGGTGAATTCCTTTAAACTGAAAAGTTGTTATTTACATCATACTAAATTAGTTTATAACACATATTCAATTAGTTTTGTCTGATATATATTTTTCTACTTAAATTAATTTTAAAAGACGAGTAATAAAGCTAGGAGATTTAGTATTGCTCTTGCTTATTTTATAAAAATAGCACTTTAGTATTAGGTTTTAATTAGTAAATATCATTAAAATTTAAACAATCGAGGGTGCTATATTTCAAAGAACTCAAATTTGTCAAAATAATTTTATTATACAGCAACTAATATATATTTACTTAAAGAAATAGCAACTAATATATATTTACTTAAAGAAAGATAGCCAATCTCTCTTTGTGCAAGGTGACCAGTTCTTAACAGCATCCTGGGAGTAAGCCGACATTATAAAACTACTTGGGCAGTGTTTATTTTGGTCATGGTCAAAATTTAAGCTTTTATGGTGTATATTTTTTAAAGGGAGGGGAGGGCTCAAACTTCTATCTGACCTTCGCCAGATATTTATTAATTTTATAAAATAATAATTATGTTTCTATTTTTAACTATTATTTACTAATTCATGCTTATGGATATTACAAGCCTATTTTTTATTATTTTAAATTAGGTATATTATATTTTAATAAAGTTTTTTTTAATGTAAAGTTGAAATAAAGTTTAATGTCATTTTTTTTATAAAATTTGCTTTAAAAACTAGCCTCAGCTTAAATTCTCATATAATATAAGTAGAATATAATTTTTTTATTGAAAATACTAATAGTAGTGTGTATAAAATATTGACTAGAAAATAGTTAAAAAAACAAGTTTTTTTATCAAATTCTATATTATACAAAATATTTTATTAAATACTATAATTATAATGTGATTGCTAATTTTAGTCAGAATGTTGCCAATTCATCAAGAATTTTGTTTGTCGTTGGAATCAAATCTCTGTGGATATTTAACAGAGCTAACCCATTTAGCCGAGATTCGGAAGTAGTACTTCATAAATATGTTTTCAACCTTCTCAAGTTGGAAAAAGTCCTTTCATTCTTACAAATTGTAATAGGCAAACATGCAAGAATATAAAACATCTTCAAAATATTAGGAAATTGAGCTAAGGTTTCACATCGATTGAGTGCATCAATATCATGCTCAGGTAAAATAGCTAAACGTAGTTAATATTTATACCACAATTCGAATTCACTGATTAAATTTATTTCAGTATCAATATCATAGGAATAAAATTTTGCTAAATATTTAATTTTACCAATAGTGGCATTAGAAAACGAAGAAGGATCTTTGGTAATGAAGATTGCTAAAGACTTGTATTTTTTTATCTAAAACCCGTACTTTTATTTGCGATAAAAAAGTATCTAAGAATGTGATGAAAATCGATATTTTATAATATTCTTCAGTTGAGCCAATATTTATTTTACATCCCAATAATTGCCTAGGTGGTAGACGAGGTTAATTAGTGTTATATCATAAAATTTAGCCTTCGATTTAACGTCTAGATAAATATTATGAAAATATTCATCTACATCCATTCTTATTGTATCTACCTGTTCATATATATTTTCCGCCAAATCATTAACCTGAACAAAATCTAAATTTGGTTTTTGTTAATTTCTACAAAGTAGTTAGCTATAGGAAAATAATTTATTGATGCAACTAGCAGCAATGATAAACTCTGATTGATCAATTCAATTCAATATTGATATCGCTTCTGACCACACATTACTTTTTTTCATGCTCAGCCTTATTTAACTTTTGTATTTCTATTTCTTCTGTTCTACAAAATGGAAGTAAAAATGAGAAATATTTAAAAAATTATAGATATTTACTAATAATTAAAATATTATTAAAAATACTTATTAATTCTAACTCACTAAAATTTTGAATTTAATAAAATAATTATATATAATAATAAAATAAATTACCGTTTGATTTTCAATCTCTTTGACTAAAAAATTTTCCATTTTATTAATATTTTTGAATAATATGTTGGAAAATTGATATTCAAATATTTGTAAAATTTTGATTGGGGGGTGGGGGGGGGGAGTAAAATTTTTATTAGCTTAAAATGATATTTATGAAAACAGTCAAATTTGCGATGAGGGTGAAATTTCCCCCTTTCTCCACCATTGGTTACGAGCCTGATTGACAATATGACCATTTCTTTTTATAATTTTCTGGAAGCTGAACCAACTACTCTATGCCAGAAATCTGTTTAGTTCAAGTTCCAAACTTCAAAATGCATTAAATATATATGCTTAAATTTAATTTTCAGCGTCATGAAGTGAGATAAAAGGGATTTCAAAGAAAGAATATTGTTCGTAATGTTGTTAAATGACCCGATTTGAGTCGATTTTTAAAAACGACCCGATTATTATTTTAGCCAAAATAATAATATAATTTTGAAGTTGCTTATAAGTGGCTGAAAGGCTTGGACTTCTATTTGCCAAATCTCGATAGCTAAAATCTTACTCGGGGCGTTTAACAAAACTAGCTGTTAGGTATTATATGCAAATAACATGCATCTCTCTAAATTTTAAATACTTGTTGATTTCCTAATATTTGCAATTAATTTTTTTTAAAAATACAATTAGAGTGTTGAAATTACATTTTTTTCAAAGTTTCCTTCTTTAGATAATTGTTTAATAATGATATATATTTTTTTAGAGATATTTCTATTAGTTTGAGAGTTAAAAAAAAATATAAACTTCTTTTTTTAAATATATTATAAAATGTTTATTTTAGGACAACGAACTTGACTGTTGTCATATTCCCATCGGGTTTATTTAGCTAGAATTGGATATGATAAAAACACTGTTACTAGAAAGAAAGGCAATAAAGTGTGGGAGAAATGGAGGAGGAATGAAAGAGAAGGAAAAGGAAAACATTTTTAAAAACGAGAGAGAACATTGCATAATAACTACATAATATATACTTGTGTCCCAGTTCGTGAGCTATAAATGGAATAGCTGCAAAGCCGGAACTCATTTCCACTAAGCTAGCCGATAAATATTCATTGCAAATCGTCTTTCCAAAATAGGACAAGCCTTAAAAAATTAAATTTTGTTTATCAACCTTAGGCTGCATTAAAAGTGAAACGGATCCGTTTTTTTACATCCGTTCAGTCAAAATTCAATCTCATTAAAAATGATATATATATTGATTTTCATTTTTAAAAAATTATAAGTAACGTTATAACACTCTATAAAATTTGCCGGATCAAAAAGTCAAAATGTTTTTACTTCAAAATTTGCCGGATCCGTTTTTAAGACGGAAGGTATCGGAACGGACGCACTTTGAACATAATATAATTTTTAATGAGATTGATATTTGACGGAACGGATGTAAAAAACGGATCCATCTCCACTTTGAATGCAGCCTTAGTCTTTTCAAACTCTTATAACAAAAATATCAATTTGACTTGTAACACAAGGTAAGACAATTTCCTCATTTCTGGACAAATGGAAGACACGAATGTTATGCATTAGCACTAATCAGATACCTGCGAAATCGATTTTTTATTGTCTCAAGTCCTCCTTCCTAATAACAATTTTTTTAGATTTAGGCCCGGCCCAGACCAGTGGCCCAAATTTTTATCAATTAATAAATGGAAAAAATCTCAAATTGAATTAAATATTTTTATTCTCTATTTTTATGTTTTTTTTTATATTAATAATACAATTTACTATAGATATATTCACTTAATACTTCAATATATATATATATTCATAATTAATAATATTATAATTTCGTTATATCGACAATTTATATCAAGGTAAGTTATAATAATAGTAAAAAAAAAAAATATTAGTAAATCACAATTAAATAAAGTCATTAATTCTTGCTATTTTTTTATTGATTGAGATTCAAGTTCCCTTTTAGCGCTAACATTATAATAGGCAACAAAATGGCCAAAGTCTATACTATGCATAGGATGTTCAATTACGGGGTTTCGGATATTGAAAAAATAAAGCTGAGATAATTGTATTTCATTATATTTATGGCTAATCGTTGGCATAGGTAGAATCCCTCTTTGGGATCCTCGGTCCTAGCAGAGATCCGTTTTCCCAGCTCTTTAAAGAAGTCTAGGGCATGAGAGCCGAACGACGTTAGAGTAGTGGCGATTAATGGTAAGAATGTATAATTGGCGGGAAGAGATGGCAAATATTTAGCTAGTTTATTCGCCTCGGCATCTAGTATGGCATCTCCATTTATATTGGAAGGGGCAAGAGGATCGATGCGTGAGAAATCCCAAGTTAGGAATTCCCCCCTCTTCCAAGGGATCATAGTGGAACCATCGGGCCGCTTACCATCGGAATTGTAAAGGCCAGTAGGTTCGAGGGTTGATGGGATGCCGGCGGATTTTAAGGCTCTGGCAATGGTACCATTGCATTTTAAATGCCTAATGAATCTGCCTCTACAGCGCTTGCAGTGTAGAGAGTGACGGCCTTTGGATTTGACCGACGTTTGACAGACAATGATAAGGTATCACCATATCGCAATTCAGTCTAAGACCGATGGCGTGACGTAGCTCATCATTGCTTAGGAACTGGTCAAGGTTTCGGGATGGGAAAGCCTCAAGAAATTTGTATCCACTACCTTCAGAAATGGAGAAGAGTAGAGAATGGTCCTCTGGTTGGCTCCTCGATTTAAGGATTGCAACGGAGTTGCCAACTAGAGGTTTATCCCAATCCTTCTGTAATGCCGACGATGGAGGATCGATTAATGAGAGGGATTTTATAGATCAATCGCCTGTAGGAGTAAGGGGCCTCGCAGGACAGGCGAGAGGATATGAACGCACTAACAGAAAGTAGGGAAGGTGACCTTATACCAATGCCGCCTAATTTGGTTGGTAAGGTAGTGTAACCATGATAATTCCCCAAATTTAAGATTGGATATATCTTCTGTTAGGCGTTTAATCTCCAGTTCGTGTGAAGAGAGGTTGACGTCATATTGATAGATCCGTGACGCTCGGAGTGTATATAAAATTCTTGGAATTAAAAGGTAGTTCTTTAATAAGAAGAAAGCTTAGTGAGCTGGGAGGCGAGATAGTGTATTGTGCATAAGGGATATCTCTCGTAGAATATCGGCAAAGAACTTGATAAAGGACTCGTTTTTACCTACTGGAGATCCGAGATGTGTTAAAGCGTTCAATGGTGTATAATTGAACATAGTATCGTGATTAAGGTCAATGATCCCAAGAGGACAATATTCGCTTTTATCTTGATTAACTCGAAGTCCCAAACTTTTCTCGCTGGATTTTATTATTTGGATTGCCTTCATAACTTCAGTCGGTGGGCCGCCTAGTATAACATCGTCGATATACCAGTTATGAAGATTTAGCTTGCTTTGGTCATTAATGTCTCGTATATTTTAATATTTAACCATAACTTTGATAATTTAATGATTATTATCTATTTTACAAAATATGATTTGAAAAAGTATAATATTTACCACCTCCTAATTTTTTTTACAAATTTTTTTTTTTAAATAAATTTTTTAATTGTGACATTTAATCAGGCAAAAAAAGAAATATAACAATTAATATTTTCTCGGGCTACAGGTCGGTCCTATACATTATATGTGAAATTAGCTGGCTTTGCAAGACTCTTAAGAAAATATCATTCCATATTGCTGTGCAACTAAAACACTTTTTATTGCCAACTAGCAGACAATCTGTCACTAAAGTTTTGTATTATTCCTGGCCCATGGCCATAACTTTTCACTCAAGGGACCAAAAAGGCCAATATTTTTTCTAAAAATGGGGATTTTATGAATATATTGGGCCAAATTTACATATACACTTAATATTATTAGTAATTAATTTATTATTAATTTTAAATATTTTTATTGAAACATATGTTAACATCAATATGTTTTTTCGGATGTTGTTTATAAATTATTTATTAAGAACATTTTTTATTTTAATATTGCAGCAAGTGTAGAATCCCTAATATTTAATTTTTAGAAAATTATGCTATAACTTTGGAACATTAGTGTCTGAAATTCAGAGGGTAGGTATTTTACAAATTCTGGAATACATTTACGGTAAAATTAAATTGTTTAACTTTAAGAAATGTGCTCAAAAATAATTTAAAGTTTGATAAAATAAATGAAGGGGAAAAAAATTTGCCACTAACATCATATATAAATATTTTCAATTAATTGTCCACGTTTGGGGACCAAAATTGTATTTGGGTGTAAAGCATTAGCCCCTCCGTAGCTAAGGCTTTCTAATACATATCATTTTAATCTATTAATATTCATTAACCTAATTATCACAGGTTTCTTAATTAATGACAATTTGTTACTATTTAATTCATGCATCGCTAGATCTTGTCATTTAACTTTAAACGTAAAAAAAAATTAAAAGTTCTCAATAAACGCTTTACACAAATGGAAAAATATTTAAGTGATCAAATAAAATAATGGCATACTAAGTACACTTTATTTATAAGTGTCTCTTAGAGTAGTTATTAATTTAAAAAGGATAAAAAAGAAACAACGTAAGTTGAAAACGATATGAAATTAAAAATGAACTCACCAAACTTAAAGTCTATAAAATATTTTCGTCATAAAAATCATTAAAGTTATATACTTTTTTAAAATAAACGCTTAAATTAATATAAAATATGATGTCCTATAAAATTTCAGCAGATTATTTATATTCCCATAAACTTGTAAAGTTTTGATCATTTTTAAAAATTTTATACAAAAATATTTGCAGCTACCTTAATTAAGACCAAATTAATTTGTTCTAATCATAATGAAAAAATGTTACTTAACTTAGTAAAGCTCTCTTCTCAAACCTTTTTATATATAAAATTGAAAATGCATATTTTTGAAACAAAAAATTTATAAAAATGAGCATGAATAATCTTAAAATATATATAAATTATAGACCTTCAGTTGAATCATCCACTTGTCCGCCAACCAGACTATACAGATTTAATCTTTTGTGTGAAAATAATAAAAAATTAATTTATTTATAATCTCTTTAGTATTTTTCAAACAATATTCTCATACTTCATAGCAATCTTAACTTAATTCATTCAATAAGATCTAGTTAAGTGTATAATATGAAAAGGTTAACAGCTATCATTTCTTTTTCTAAGCAGAAATGGGTTCATGATAGCAAACATGTTGCGAGAAATCAGGTAAATAGGTCAATAGCATTTTTTTTATGTATAACGTTAATTTGAGCTCCTTATAATGGAGACCGGGGTCAGATAATTTTGCAATATTGCTATAAATAAAATGTTCACATATACGGCGGGTTTATTAATCTGCACCAGTGTTATTACAATTATTACGAATTACGATTATGAAAGTTTTTTCGTTCAACCTAATATAATAATTGTATCATATGTATATAGTTTATACATTAGGCTTCAATAAAATAGAGAACTTCTTACCTCATAAGATGTGGGCGCTTGAGAATTAGTTGATGTCATTATTTTGCCATCATGCCCATGCCCGGATTAGATGGTAAACCATATTGTGAAAAATGGCGAACATATATTAAAACCATGAAAAACATCACAAAAAAACCATCTTAACATGATGGGTAGATAAAATAGCGATATTATAGGCATAATTCGCGTATAACCACCCCTATTTTTAACACCTTGTAAATTGAATCTTATTCTTTCTTGCTCTTTTTGAAACTTTGGTTATAGATTACACGGAGACTTCTTCTTTATTTTCCTTAGCCTTTCCTATTTTATTTTATTATGATTGATTTGTTTGTAAGGAGACGGGATCATTAATCTGTGAGTGTGGACAGCGACTTTTCTATGCAAGCTAAAAAAAATATAGGATCAAATTTAATCGGTGGTTATATTATAACTTTAAATATTTATTTTTAGTCCAAAGTAAAAAATAATTTTTAGGAATGAGCTAAAATATCGTTTTTCCACAAGATCTGCTAAAAAAATGCTCCTCCACTTTTAAGACCTTAGATAAAAGGTGTAAAAAGCATATTTTGACAAATTTAGATGTCTAGCTCATTATGAGGCCACCAGGACCTAGAAAGTGTAAAAAAGATGAAAATCACCTCGAAATTTTTACAGTCAAAATACTGTTCTAATACGTTATTTATCACACCATAATTCAATAGATAATATTATATATTTACTTTAATATTTAAAAAATCTAATATTACCCAGTAACCCAAGAGAGTGTATCCCATTGTAAACCCATTCTTTTTCTTTTGACTTTGATAAAGAATATGTTCCCAGCGTCCAACAATCTTTCGGCGTCTCTTAACGTAATAGGTATGCTAGACTAATCAGATTATTTAATAAAGTTATACCAAAAAGGGAATTATTTTAACAGAAATCGATCTATAAATATTGTTCCAATATGATCAATTTTTTGCTTTGATTGTAAAGATATCAAATAATAATAAGGTTGTTTTTGTTAAAACTATATATTCTAGTTTTTAGATTTGCAAATTAAGAACAAACCTTAATTCTTGATAGTCTTAAAAATAAGATATTATTTTAAAAAATTTCTGAATTAAGTTTATACCAGTAAAGACATCATTCAAAAATATGCCCATTTTTTATCTAAAATCTAAATTTAATAATTATTGATCACAATATTTATTATAGAAGAATTATGCGTATTATGCCAATGAGGTCTTTCTTTAACAAACATATAACAGTTTTAGAGGGTTACATTGTGAATTAAGACAAATTATGCCATCTATGATGCTTTGTATTATACCAACAAACCCCGTTACTTATAAAGATATTTTTTTAATTTAGATATATACCTTAATTAATTTACGAACTAGTATTTTTAAAGACTTCCTTGCTTTTTTTCTACCTACCTTTCTTCCTTCCTTCAAATAAAATACCTTAATTAATTTATGAACTAGTATTTTTAAACGGATAAAAACTTCCTTCCTTTTTTTCTACCAACCTTTCTTCCTTCCTTCAAATAAATTCAATAGTTTGAGACCATAACCTGGAACCCTCAGACACGGGACAATTTTAAGAATTGATACCAGAACCTAGAACCCTCTTTTAAATTTAAAAAACCAGAACTGGAGCTCATTTTAAAATTTACAGGAACCGGTTTCAGAATAAAGGTGCAAGTAATTTATATATTGTGTGCTTCATTTTAGAGAATTTATACTGTTTAAAGATTTTCGATTGCCATAACAAGTGTTTAAAACTGGAACCAGAAGCTAGAACCCTTCGAACCATATCAAATCCAAAATAGAACCAGAGCCAAGAACGTTTTATAATGTTAGGAACTAGAAACACATTAATAATATTCAGAACATTGAACCATAGCCATTTTTAGTTCAGGTTCTGACCTCTGGTCAATTTATCCCATCAAATGCATTTAGTGCTATTTTTTTTATTTAATCAATCATAAATCCCTTTTAACTGATTTTTACCAAAAAATAATATATAAATTAGAAAACAATTTTTTAAAACAAATTTCCAAAATCTTGTTTAGAATGAGAAATGGAAGTATTTATTTAAAGTTAAAGATGTTATAATCCTTATATAAATTCCCTTTTTCCCAAATATAATAGATTTTCTCTATAAATAATTTTAAAAGGAGTAGCTACATACCACCATTCTCCTCCCCATGCAGAATCTAATAAAATATTAAAATACTTTATTCTATTAAAGCACCATTTTATCCCATTAATTGGTCACTTTTGATAATTTTGGAGAAACGTTCCTAAAATTTTAAAAATAAAAATCGGTAGGAAAATTTCCAACAACACTGGGATATATGTGGAAAGCTTATATATTTAAATAAAAATCCTGGCGAAATTTTGTTCCATATATCAGAACGTACTGGAGTGCATTCCTGAAAATTATCTAATTTTATTTCTACTTATTATATATTATGCCAATTTTTACACTATTTAGTTATTTAAGCCATTAATTATAAAAATCACATTATAATTCTAAATAATGGGCAGCAATATTGTTATGTGAAGCAAACTGGAATTAAGAAAATAGAGAAAGAATATTTATTGATGAGTCATTAGATATAACTATGTAAAAATTGAAAATTTTAATATTATTCAGAACTATCCAGATGTTCCAGAACTTCATGGGATCATCGTTCCCGTTCTTTTCACCTTTCACAATATTCCCAAAGTTTCCTTTCAGGAACGTTTCCAAAACTTTCCCATGTTACTGAATAATAATGGTGTGTAAGGTAATTTAGCATGAGGAGGGGGCGGGTTAAATAATTTAAAAAAATTAATTAATTTGAATTTTTATATTTGAGCCAGAAACCCGAACTGTAAATGAATATCAGTTCTGTTGAGGTTTAAATTCAGGTAAAAATAACGGTTCATGGCTCAGGTTTAGTTCGTAAAAAATAATATCGGTTAGTTTGAACCTTTAATCCGGTTTAAATTTTTGAATACAGACTTATCGAAATTATATAAAGAGAAACTCTAAAAAAAATTTTTATTATTTCTTATAAAGTATTATTAAGCTATATAAAATTAATTATCAAATCTTCTTCTGTCAAATTATATCTATAGGGAAACAAAAAATTTCATGATTGGGAACTCTACACGCAAACTTGGATAATTGTCACCGTTAAATAGCAATAAATATCTATAAATGGACCGATACTTATTATTCAAAATTGATTGCTAATAATCTTTAAAAGAGTTAGGACACCAAAAAGTTCAAATCAGTTCAAATACCTTTTTATAGGTTCGGTTCAAGTTCCGGTGACATAAATTCTAGCAGTTCAGGTTCGTTTAGGTTCTATAAATAATAAAAGTTAATACCGGTTTAACGGCTTGATTCAGGTTCGGTTGAATCCTTAATTGTAAATAATAAGGGTTAATACCGGTTTAACGGCTTGATTCAGGTTGGGTTTGAATCCTAAACTTGAAAAGCTTACTTTATTCTAGTAAAATAAAATTTATCCGTAATTAACTTATTAAATATTTTCTAAGAATGAAGACTAATATTTTCGGGTAATGTGGGATATCATTTATATATAATATTATATAAATATCAGAGACCTGCAGAGGTACCGTTTGTATGGCCCGGTCAGGATTTTTACATATATATTACATTTATTTTTAATTTTTATAGCTAATAAGGGCAATTTAAAATATTCGGTTTTAAAATATACGGCGAATGGGATATTTTTTTTAAAAAAAAATTTAGGCCCGGATATTCAAAAAAAAAATTCTTAGGCCCGACCCAGGTATATTTAAAAAAACTAGGGGCAGGCCTGGCAAGTTAATATTATATAAAAATTAATTATTGATACCGGATTTTTTTGAAACAAGAAAACGTGGGTAACGATTATATTTATAGGAACGCCAAGAGATTGGTCTTGAAATAGATAGTTAACCTGAATTCGAATTTTTGAAATTTATTATAAAGCTAATATACATTTTTGTTTTTTTTTGATAAGTAGACCTAGCAAAATAAGGAAGACATTTAATAATTCATTTTTTTTAATTAATAAACTAAATCTTTTCGAAATGACAATATTAAAAAATCTAATGTTGTTAAACACGTTAAACACTAATTCCAAAAGAAATGAGCTATCGCTACCGCTATTTTACAAAAAGAGGTAACGCGTCGCTACTGCTATTTTTTCAAAAAAGTAGTGCGCTATTAGCTACTATTTTAACGCTACTTTAGAATTTTTTTTCAAATATATTTTACGTATCTCTATTTCCACAAATAAAATATATTGGTATAAAAATATGACTAAAATTTTTAATATACATAATTTATTTGCTTTTTATTGCATTTCAATAATAATAACATGTCCATACACTCATCTCCAAGTCTTAGAGTGAGATCAGACATTATAGGCTTGGACTAAATCGTCGTTCAACACTAGCACTTTAGGTCAATGCAATATTAAATTTAACATATTTTTATATAAGAAAAATCCTCAAAAATATTTATTTGAGTATTTTTAGATTTAGAAATTTGTGTCTTCAATAGTATTTATTAATTTCATAAAAAAGTCATCTATAGCAGGTGTTTTGATCTGGCTAGGGTCAGTTCAAAATTATAACAGTAATAGTTGGAATAAAAATTATGTAAGGGATAAGTGATATAAATGGTCATGTTTACTGACTGGCCAGGCCACCACCCTTTAACTTTTCATCTTGTGAACCAATTTCTCTCAAAATTGGTCAAATATGAAAGTGATAAAAGTTATAAATATATTAATAGATGAGTCATGGTTAATTTTAAGCAGAGATAATAAAAATAATTTATAAATATTGTCAATAAATAGATGTCTGATGATAAAACGAGATGTTAATAAAAATTATTTATTGAAAATTTTAATTTATTATAAATCTTGAATTATATCTTCTCTTGAAACATATCATGTTTGGATTGAGTCAGAAAATCAACTTTCACATAAACTCATCTTGCTTAAAATCTGTTATATATACATCATTAATTCAAATTTCATTTTAAAGATTAAATATTGTGCTACTAAATAATAGTAAATTTGCTTGATATAATACTTTTAAATATTTCTTAAAGTTGAAACTAGTCTTGTTTGATGATAAAACCTTCCGGTATATCTTACAACGCAACTTATACACCTGGCACATCTTACAGCGAAATTTATACCCTGTGTTATTTTTTTTATCGAGATTAAAATATGCGAATTTTACTTTGTCGATATAATCTTTACCAAAATTATATTCAATATCAATTTCTATCGTCGATATTTTAAATTATTTGGAAAACCGATTTATAATGCAGATTTTTAATTAAATATTTATTCAAAACTAAATTAAATAAAAGATTGTGGTTTTAGAATTAATTATAAAATTATAAATATATTTTAATAATTTTTATGGGTATTTAATATATAAAATAGGGAAGTAATGCGCTAGCTATCCATATTTTCTCAGCGCGCCCGGTACTGAAAAAAGTAACTTTAACAACACTGAAAAATGCCAAAGATCAATATTCACGATAATAAATCATCAAGCTAAAACAATTTTATTCATTACCCCTTGGTAAGCACTCAATATGAATCTGATAGACAATTCTCTTATTTCTTTCCTAGAGAAGTTCCTTTTTAGATACATTTTAGATTTTATTGATTTGATCAATTCCTGATCAACCACAACTGCCACCTCAATCGTAGGTATTTTACCCTTTCTGAGCTTGTTCTGATCTTGTCTTGATAAGGTTTTAGAATTTGTTGGTATATTTATAATTCGGTTGTTTGATCCTTTTAAAATAGAGAGTAAAAATAAAATTATGATATTGTATTATAAGTGTAAATTATTAGAAATCTTTTCTAATCTTAGTGTTATTGATAAATAATGTAAACAAGGAAGAAGACTCTAGTATATATGATTATACCAAAATATAGTTTTCTACATGCCAAAATAAAATAAAAAGATTTTAAAAAGGCATAATATATTACCTTTCTAAAGATGCATATTCTTTAAAATGATAGCAATATACCCTCAGTGACCCCTATTAGAAGCCTGCAAAAGTCTATTTTTACTTAATGCTGACCAGTAGGAAAAAGGAAAAAATTTTGAAGCCATTTCAAAAGCTATTTTAATAAAAAATTCAATCTAACCCGAAAATAAAATTAATTTCATATTTCAACAGAAATTCAAAATTTATAAAAAAAACAATTTAACCTAATTTTAATTCATTTTTCAGTATGATTTAAGAAATAATATAAAATGAACCGAAATTGTAAAATAATTAACAAAAACCATGATTTAATTATTGATTTGAATTAAAAATTGTAAAAAATATTCCAAACCTGCCCACTTATGCAGACTCAACTTATCCCAAAAATAAAATAATCCTTTTTTTCTTCTAAATTTTTTTTATCATTTATTATAATCCACAAATATTTGAATAAATAATTTTTTAAATTTCTTGGGGAATAAAACGTTTCCCTAACTTTCATATAAAAACCTTTCATATAAAAAATTGCGACTGAGAATAATTGCGACTTTTTTATGATTGGTTGTGATAATTGCGACTTTATACCCATTGGATATAAAAAATTAAACGTATTTATAATATATATTTGAAAAATCGTGATTTTTGGAAAGCCTCTATGGCCTAGAAGGCAAGAGCTTGGCTTACTTATCCCATGGTCCCGGGTTCGAATCCCGGAAATGGTGATGTTTTTTTTCTTATTCTAACTTGGTGGTTCCATCCTTGGGGGGATAATATATAGGAGGCCTGCTTCGACCACGTGATTCCGTATTAATATATTAAATAATAAGAGTTTTATTACATTTTAATATATTTTGGTCGGTATTTAGCAAATTAGGTTGGTATTTAGAATATTTCCATACATTCACTCATTAACCACATAAAGTCGCAATTATTTTTATGAAAGGTTTTTATATGAAAGTTATACCAACCCATAAAGTCGCAATTATTTATATGAAAGGTTTTTATATGAAAGTTATACCAACCGGAATAAAATAAAAAGTAATCTTTATGTAATTATTTTATCATTGGATATAAAAGGAAGAAATCTATTTTTAAATACAAAGGGGTAATTTTTGTTACATGTCATTGAGATAGAGAGATAATCATTAGGTAGAACTGGCGCCAGCAGAGGGATATAGGAGCCACTCAATACACGTTTAAAATATAAATTAAAAATGTTAATCGTTACTTTATAGGTATATTATGCACATTATTGCTTAAATTTCACTTGTGCGTGTGTATATATACTATACATTTCCTATCTATTACAGGGTTTGCCATTGTTTTCAAACAAAAACTCTTATCATGAGAGCACATAATACGCAAACAACATTTTTTATATTTTGTTCTCATTTTTTGAAAATAAATAATAAAAATATCAATACCTTACCTTTCTTTCGAACAAATTCTCATTTAAAACGAGCATTTATTAAAAAAATAATTACATTAAAGCTTTTGATTTATTCTTTAAAAGTCAGCTGAATATCTATAAAATTATTTTAAAAAATTCTAAATTAATTTATTTGGCTATAATAATTTTGTGCATCATTGGTATTAAAATAATCGAAATGATCTTAAAAAATTAATTTATAGCTAAATAATTAATATTTAATACATATATGAATTTTTTTATATATTGCTGCTTTAATAATTAATGAGCATTGGCTAAGAAAGGATTTATATATTCCCTTATACACAATCTTGAAAAGAAATTATCTATAGATTTAAAAGGGGAAAAAATTATTATGCACTAATTTTCAATATGTTAAATTATTATTGTTTGACTTTTATTTGAGAAATTTATTAAATTCATCAATTCACTTTCGTTATTTGGTCCTCCTTTTCTCAAGAGAGTTTTCAGTTTACTAAATATCTCTTCAATTTGGTTAAGAAATGGCGAACAAGGAGAAAAAAAATAAAAGTTCATAGTTGAATGTATTAAATATAACAGTTGAGGGATTTAATGAAGCATTATACACAACTATATTTTATTTATTTTTTTTTATAACTACTAATGTTTATTTTTATTATGGAGATTAAAATTATATAAAATATATTCTAATCATCATGTGAGATGAGGCTGCCAATGAAGCTGATGTAATTGGCCCTGTGAATTGCTATTGCGAGTCTTTGTCTTAAGAAGAAGCCTTCACGAGGTTCATCAGTTAGTTTGCGGATTAGCGATCCAAGTTCCTTGAAGAAAGAAAGAGCACGATTCCCAAAGGTAGTCAAGGTAGTGGAGATGATGGGAATGAATAAGTGATTGGGATATCTCTGAATATTTTGCAATTTTTAGAAGCTCCTTGTTCTCCAGAATGTTAATGGATTGATTGGAAGGAGCCAATGGATCAATACAAGAGTAATCCCAGACCAAGAATTGACCTCGCTTCCAGGGAATTTGAGAGATCCCGTCAGCTATATTACAATTGATTATATTATTTAGTTTAAGAATAAATAATAATTCGTTTAAATGTTTTTGGTTTTTAATTCTATTATACCCCCCTTGTAAAATTTTAAAATGAATTATTATTTTTTGGAGATGCAGCAACACATGCTCATATTTCTCCATTTAAACATTTTTATCGATTTAATTGGTCGTTCATTAATGTGCTCATTCGTAAATAGGTCAATGATATGTTAAATCCCGTTCAACAAAATAGCAATTTCTATTCCAATGTTGACAATCTGCATCTTATAACATAAATGTTCCTTTTTTAAAAATTACTTCATTGATATTCCTTCGCGCGCTCTGGAACGTTGGTAACGCTCTTGAATGATTAGTGAAGATTTTTTATTTGTTGGTCTATTATTGCTAACTATCTATAAGCCAACAGGAAAATTTAATTTTTGAAATTTTTTTTTTAGTATTATAGAACAGTCATTGTCAAATTACGATAAGATATATTGGATATGCGAATTTTGAATTTTAGGAAATCTTCCTCCACCATTTTTAGCAAAATCTCGGCCGGAATTACTATTTTAAAGCAAGATTGACTTGATGCCTCGATATAGCCAAAATATCAGTTATATCTGTTATGGAGTGATCAGTTCTAATCAATTTAACAGTTAGTTTCCTCTTTTCATCATTCATTTAGAAAAATATATTATCAATAAAATATATTCTTTTCAAGTTCAAACTAATATGCACATGCGATTTACATTTTTTTAATTAATATTTTTTGTATCAATGAACAAATTTCCATTTAGTGTTTTCAAGATGACACAATGATGATTGATTTAGAAAAAAAATTAGTTAATGTTTCACCTTCTTGTTTTAAAAAAAAATTGAATCTATATTACTTTACAAATCTTATAAGGCAAATTATCCTATGAGTATTCTTTTCTATATAAAGATCACAACCTTCTTTTTATTCAAAAATAAGTTTATAGATATTATTTTTATATGGCTGTGTCCTAAATGTTATGAAAAAAACCTCAAAATTTATAAATTTTCGCAAATTAGTAAAATTATGAAACATGTCCCAAATCTTCCATTATTTCTTTTATAAAAAAGCAAAAAAACGAGAATAAAATACAAAAAGTTGCATACTTTAATATTTACTAGTTTTTCATTAAAATTGCCCAAATAAAAATATTTTGAAAAAATTTTTATACAAATTTATTAATTTCTATTATTTTTTACAAAAATAAATTTTTGTAAGTGACTAAAAATGATTTAGAACACTATTTTATTTTTATATATTTTAAATTTAGGACACAGCCTATATTAAAAAAAAAAAAGATTATTTTATAATATATTTTTATGCAATACCATTTATGCACGAAATAATTTTAAGCAAATAAATTTATTTATAAATTTTTTAAATAATTTTAGATATCCGCTGATTTTAATATATAATTTTTTGTGTAAAAAAAATTTTCCTTAATAAATTCTCGTTTTAAATGAAAATTTGTTCGAAAAAACGGTGATAGGAGTATATAGTATCATTTTTTTAAATTATTTTTTATATGATGTTGGAACTAATGAGAACAACATATAAAAAAATGTTTTTTACGTATTTTGTGCTCTCATAAAAAAAGTTCCTGTAAAACGGTAAATTAGTTTTAAAAAATGTTTTAGAATTATTTTTATAACAATTGTCACCTTTTACAAATTATACTAAACTTATTATACATGTATAATATTTATTTTTATCTATTTTCACAATATAAAAAATAAAGTGAATATTATGACAATTGTCACCACTATTTGTCCTGTATCATTTGAAATTTTTATTTAACAAAGTATTAAAAAATTATCAAAGGAAGAAAAAAGTTTTTTTACAAAAATAACAAAAGAATGTAATTTTATAAAGTCTTTATTGTATATTAATTTGATCGAAAAAGGATAATCTAAATGTTGCTGGCATGATAAAGGTTTGATCTTTTACAAATTTATAAAGGTCCGTGAAGTTGGCCCCACAATTTTTAATTTTCAATGGTTTATCAGTTGGACTGATTTGTAACCGATTTGTATCGTTTTCAGTTCGATTTGTACCATCACCGTTTTTAAGATATTCAAATAACAAAATGGGGGGCCAACTTCACGACAGCCCCCCCCCCACTTTTGAATTTAAAAATAATAAGTACGTTGGTCTATAGAGGATGATTTGTACCGTTTTCAGTTCGATTTGTACCATCACCGTTTTCCAGCTATTGACCGTTAAAAATATGGTGATTTCCGAATTAAATATTTAAGAAAAGCTTAATTTGAGGCTTCATTAGGAAGAGAAAAAAATTATCTACCGTTGTACGTTAAAAAAATTTTTTAAATTAATTTTGAGTGATTTTATTTTTGGCGCCATATTTTTAACGGTCAATAGCTGGAAAACGATGATGGTACAAATCGAACTGTAAACGGTACAAATCCTCCTCTATCGACCTATGCACTTTTTATTTTTAAATTCAAAAGTTGGGAGGCTGTCGTGAAGTTGGCCCCCCATTTTGTTCTTTGAATATCTTAAAAACGGTGATGGTACAAATCGAACTGAAAACGGTACAAATCAGTCCAACTGATAAACCATTGAAAATCAAAAAGTGTGGGGCCAACTTCACGGACCTCATTTTTAAGATTCAAAATCTTGTTTCACCTTGGAATTAAAAAAAATTGCAGTGATTTGTTTTCAAAATTTTAAATGTTATAAATATTTATTTTTTGACAGAATATCGGTATATGAATATATTTTTAAGCATCGCACGGTATTCTAAGAACATCTTAATCTTAAATATTGACTAATACCCCACTTTGATCAGATCCCGGAAATGTAAAGATTAATAAAAAAAAAAGATTTAAAAGTTACTTTTATTAACCCCACATTTGATTTTAAGATACGACCCGTTGGAATTAATCATAACTCTTGGCATAATCTGAAATTATAAAAATTAAGTATAACATGGAAATGATTATTATATTGACTAGATTAACCAATCAGAGATATACCTAATTTTTAACATCATATTGTTAAATTTATGATTATATATTTATAGCTATTTTATTACTGTTTTATTTATTGAATTCTTTGTTGCAATGGTTTACGATTCTTAGCTCCCAAAAGAAAAGTTAGGAAGATCTGACTTTTTAAACAATATAATAGTAATAGGATAAAAATCCCCCTGCCAAAATTCCTCAACAATGGGTAAATAATGCCAAAAATTCCATGAAATTTCACTTATTATTTTTTATATATTAAACTGATTTATAAAATAATCATGATTTTCCAAGTGGCAGATGGATGTGGCTCAGATCCTATCTGAGGACGCACAGGAATCTATTTCAATCCAGGTTCGATACTAGCAGGACTAATTTTTTCCTGAAATCAATCTCCTGGCGTTGGCTAAAGTTAAAAAGTTAACCAGATATGGAAGTAAGGAGCCGAGATATAAATCGGTGGCGGTAATTTTCTATATTTATTCGACGGCTAACACGTAGAGTAGTATCCGCCTAATAAATTAGCGACGAGCCTGGTTTTAATAATTAATTTGTGTTATAATTTAATGTATTGTATTTCTATATAATTAATATGAGCACTCTTAATTCCATCATTGGTAATAAAGTTCCTTAATATTTTTTGTGTCCCTTCTCTATATAATTTATGTATAAAATATCTATTAAAAAATGCCTTTTTACCTAGGCCACATCAATAATATTTTAGATTCATTAGTACTAGTAATATTAAAACAGATTTATATATAACAGCTATCTTATTATATAACCTTTGAAAACAAAAAAATAAATTAAAAATCAAATTTAGTTGAATTATAATCGTCGCGAATAAATGTGATTTTGTCAAGATTTATTGAGCATGAAGATGTTCTTTCGGTATTCCATATTTACCCATCAATAAAAACGTTAGTTTTACTTTTTGCAGGTATCGAAAGATCTTAGCCATATTAGCAAGTTTAAGAAGCTCCAGTCTCTTTATTTGCTATAAGATTAGTGCATTTTGTTCTGGTTACGATGGCAAAAAAGATGCATTATTGTTCTATATTGTTAGTGCTATTAGGGAAATTTTTAGAACTATTTAACAATAAATGAAGGTGATGTTTGAACATTCTCTTTAATTTGAATATCTTTTTCTGTATTTATATTATTGTCGCCAGAGTTTGGCAAAAAGTTACTACGTTACAGGATAACACACTCTTTCAATTCTACCATTTTGAAAATGTAACTAAGAGTTTCTGTAACCATAATATTTGTTTTTTGACAAACATAACATTTATTCTTCATTACCTTAAAAGCATTTTTAGGAGGTTTCTATACAAAAATTATCTTTCCTTCGTTGTGCGATTTTGGGATTATGTTTTATATTTTCTTATATCATGGTAACCATTCAAAAAGTTACCATTTCAGGAGAATTTTATGACTATAATATTGAGAAAGAATATGAATTTAATTTAATACTATATTATAGATTGTAATTTATAGATAAAAATAAAGTTTCATTAAACATTATCACTTTGGCTTTGACTTTTTTTTAAAATAAATTACACATTACACATTTGCTTACAAGTATCAGGGTATGTGTATACAATCCATGTTTAATATTATGACATTTATTTTGCATGTATATAAAGTCATTAGCTCAAATAATTTCTAAAGATTATTTTTACATTTCGATTTAAGAAATAATGCTAATTAAATCTTGAAGATGAACTTTTATCTTAGTTATTTTTCTATAAGTTTGCATACTTTAGTCTTTCAAGCTCTAGGCATTATTTAATTTCAAATCTATACGATACATTCTTATAGCATTCTTGGTCGTAAATTAGCATTATTTTACCAATCAAATATTTATAATAGAAAAATTCACAATTTTAATAACATATAATAAAATTTCTATATATCAGTACAATAGGTATTAATGTAAGTTTTATATTACCTCCACTGGATCTTGACCAGATACCAATAAATTCGGATATGCATGTTCTTCAAACTCTTCGACTGTCGCCGATAAGTTATGGGTTTCATTCATATATTTTATAATGTCATTATAATTTATAGGAGGTTCTCTAACAGCGACTCTAGACTGGTTGAAATGTTCATATTTCGGCTTCGATAAATGTTTAACTATGGTATGACTATATAGATAATGTTTGCTGAAGCTGGTAACTTCAGGAACAAAGTTATTATACATATCCTCTTTATTTTTTTCGAATGGATGCATCGGTTCTAGGATCCATAGTTTATTTTGTAGCTTGAGAAATAAAACCTAAAAGGATAATAACCATATTGTTAAAAAAAATAAAGTTTACAGTTTTAAATTAAATTTCTGCAAATTTCTATATTTATATCAATAATATTTAAAGGATGCATTTACCAAATCATTAATATTATCTCCGCAAGCATTCCCGACTACTCTAATCCTATTTTCCGCAACTTTCTCTTTCTTCGAAGTATTTTGCTGTGTTTTGAGAGAATCTTTCAAGAAGTTTTTTGATTTTTCCGATATTTTTTTACTCCTCACCATATTCTTATCGTTATTGATAGAACTACTCTTAACATTGTCATCATCATGGTGTTTTGGAGTCAAATAGCCATGGTAGAAACAATCAACATAATCCATTATGTTGTATTCAACAAATTTTCCCTTCGAATAAGTCATGACTTTTAAACCGGGGGATATGAAATCACGAGCTCTTTTAGACCTCTCTAACTTGAGTGTCATAACGGAATGTGGATGAATAAATGAGCCAGATTCTCTATTCCCATTTCCAAAAAATCTGCCTATTTTTAAGCTGTAAGTTCTGGTCAAAGTTGTAGAATTTACCAAACCATTCAATGAGAGTCGTTTTTGGTTTGCTGAAGAAGTAAAAATAGTTGACTCGATTAATTTGACTGAGCAGGCGTATTTGTCGAAATTTGATTCATGGATAGAATCTTTCAAATAAAAAAAATATATAATACTGGTATTTTTAAGAGAAAAAAAATCCAATGTGTAAAAATATTTGAAAGTCTCAATTCTTGACTTATGTCAGATTTTTACAAATCTCTTGAAATAAACAAAATTACTTTTTAAAAGAAAAAAAATACTATTTTTCTCTTTCTATTATTTAGTCAGTATTTTCTATTTACTTTCTATATTTTTAAATATGATTTTAATAACATATTGTATTCATTCTTTGGGGAAAAGGAAGCAAAGGATTGTTGAGGGGAAGATTTTTATTAGCTTAAATGATATGTTCCATAGGGGGATTTCTCCTTTTCCCCTACCCCTTTTGGTTTCGCCAATGATCTATATCATTTCTTATATATACATACTGTATTTAAACTGCAATGGCCTTGAATAAGGTTTTCACAAAATGAAATAATTAAAAATAAGCTAGTATCATATTTAAAGAAACTCATAGAAACACAAGAAATTTATAAGATTCATTTTTCAAGAATTAGTGTGGCCTATGATTAGTGTTGTTAAACGATTCGTTTTGAGCGGATAATCAGCTAACTCAATATTTTGGCCAGAAAAATATTAGGTCTTGAGATTTTATTAATATTTGTTTAAACCTTTGTTCCATCTTTGAGCAAAATATTCAGGCTTGCGTAATATCTTTACACGTATCGTAATTTATAAAATAATTTTTTTCTTCTCAAATTTCATAACTTTTATTTTCATCATCAAAGAGAAAGAATCAATCAAAATCCATAAAAAATGTATTTCCAAAAAAATATATATCGAAAAAATAAATTCATAATAATTATATTTTTTCTTTTTAAATTTCAAAACTTTAATAATGAATAATCAAAAATATATTTCCAAAAAAATATATTATAATAATTATTATTTTTCTTTACATATAATAATAATAATTTTTTCCCCAATCAGATGTATTCAATCTATCTGATTGATGTTTAACAAAATTAAATGGGAATATACGTTTTTAATATAACATACTAGGACATGTCACCCCTTTATGGGCGACATTCCTCACCATTAAATATAATATTTAATATACATTTTGAAAAATATTAAATTACTAATTATGTTGTCATGATAAGAGAATTTTTTCTTTATATCATATTCATAAGGAAAAATACGGATATCCAGTTGTCTACTTTTACTCCATATTTATATACTCTTGAGCTTGATTACTAGTTGTACCGATAATCGTCATGCGATTGTGGGCTTGATTTGAATAACGATAGTCAGCATTTAATCGTTGGCTTGATTTGAATAACGATATTCATCAGGTAATCTTTGGCTTGATCTGAATAACGATAGCCCTCCATAACGTCAATTGAGACCGGAAATTTTTTCTAGAATTGTCTTCTCACTTTTGTGAATCCCATTTGTTCAACCACAAGGTCAAAGTTAGTCTTAGTTCAACCATAAGGTCAAAGTTTAAAGTCTTTTTATTGTATAACAACAATTTGAAGTTTTTTATTATAACCATAGCAACATCAAAGTGAACCGTCCGTGAAAACAAAAAAATATAACTTTCTTTTTCTTTTTCCAATGACCATCCATCACAAAAATTTACATTTTTTTTTTAAACTTTTTCTTTTCTTTCCTTGAAAAAAAACAACTGCTCGGTATATAACATAATCATAAACGATTCCCTCTTTATACCATTTAATTTATTATTATACTCCTATTGCTCTACAATGAGGATACTCGAGTATATAAAACCATCAATAAATTAATAAAATACTTTCCTCCGATGGCCTTTATTACCATTTTACCGAAAGCATAAATTACCAAAACACCCCCAGTTGTTCCGTATTCAACTAATTTATTAATTTATATAATTTTGTTTTGTACTCTACTAATCTTATCAATTTACGCAATCAATTAAATAACTCTACGTAATCTTGTCTTGTACTCCACTAATTTTATCAATTACATGATTAAAAAGGAATCTCTTCCTTCAGGGGAAAACACAAAAAAAAATCGCCATTGCCATTCATTAACCCCGAGACTTGATTATAATCCCGTATAATTATAGGATGTTGAGTTCTCCCTCTGAAATATAAAACTCTCTTTATTTTCCAGACTTTTCAATGTTTCAATTAAGCATCCTTTAATGAATTCCATTAGCACTTAATCATAAATGAGCCTACCTCTATCTTTATTACAGTAACTTACCCCCAATACTACGCGAGTATCGTTATCAGAGTATCCCAAAAGAATCAATATTTTCATTATTCATAATTAACATATTATGCTATATAATCACAAAAATCTAAGATTCCGGAAAAAATAAGATAAGATTAATATTTAAGCATGCTTCCATATTATCGTTATCCATTCTTACTTTCTCCTAACCTTATGTGATCATTATGTCTGATCACCGTAATTCCATTTATTAGCTAAATTTCATTTAATTTGGAACCCAGGTTTTCTACTATACGACCTTTTTCCCATTTCCTCCCTTTGTTATCAAACAAACGGGCCCATATAATTCTCCCCACAGGATATTTTATTTTAATCTTATCAACCGAAGGTACACCAGCCCCATCTTTGGATTTTAAGAAATCCAACGGCATTCTAGTCCTTCTTCCCAAAAATAACTCCACCGGCGTAATTCCCTCCCGGTTTCTGGAATTATTATAATATAAATGGGCCATCCAAACATCATTATTCTCTTGTTTGGCCTTTTTAATCCAATTTTTCACGATAGCTACCATTCTCTATGCCTGTCCATTGGAACTGGGATGATATGGTGGAGCTAATACGTGTTTAATTTCCAACGCATTACAAAAATCTCTGAAACTTTCAATTACAAAGGCCGGACCTCCATCAGACACAATTGTCTTTGGAATCCCAAATCTAGCCCATAACCTTTGTAACACTTTGATAACAATCCTAGTGGCTAATCCATGAACCTCTTCATACTCAATCCACTTAGATTATGCATCAACAACTAAAAAATACGACTTCTTGTTTAAGTCAAAGAAATCCACGTGAATACGCTCCCATAGCTTTACAGGTTTCGGCCAATAACTGCCTATTTCCTTCCGGGGCATAGCGGCACACGAATTACATGGAATACAACTCCTCGTAATTCTTTCAATATCATTGCTCATTCCAGGCCACCATACATACTCACGAGCCCAAGATTTCATTTTATCTCGACCCTGATGTCCTGCATGCAACAATCGTAAAATTTTACTCCGTAATTTCAACGGAATTACGGCTCTATTACCCCGCATCAAACAATCATCCACTACGGACAATTCCTTTTCAATCTTTTTATAAACTTTACTACTATTTTTCCACGGTTCTTGTCCCGTCAAAGGTAATTTTACTCGACCCAATTCCTTATCCCTTAAGGTATTGCTTTTAAGATCCTCCCAATTCGTAGGACCACCCTTTAATATATGTGATAAAGAACAAATTAATGCCCTTTCTTCATTCACTATTATACTTTTGTTAACGTCAAGATAAACTTCACTGGATCCTAACCTAGAAATATCAGGCAAACAATTTTCCTTGCCCCTGCGATATCTGATTTCCACATTAAAACTTCCCACCAGTAATAACCAACGTTGCAACCGGGTATCCTTCTTAAATAAATGAATTAACGGCTTATGATCCGTGTAAATTATAAATCTTTTACCGATCAAATATTCACGACATTTGGTTAATCCAAAGATAACCGCTAGGGCTTCTTGTTCAATAACCGAATATCTAGTTTCCACTTCCCTGAAAACTCTCGAAAAAAATATGATGGGTCTTTCCACACCATCCATTAAATGTAACAATGCCCCTCCAACCCCATTATTGGACGCATCAACCGCCAATATGATCTCTAAATCATTGTTAAAACATACTAAAATCGGTCCTCACCAATTTTTCCTTTAAAATCTCAAAAGCATTTTCAATTTTCCACACAAAATGAACACCTTTTTTTAATAAACCATACAATGGAGATGCCACTTTCGCAAAATCCTCCACAAAACGATGATAATAATTTACCATACCCAAAAATGATTGCAACTTCGCTTTATTGGTTGGCGGATTCATATTCGTTATATTTTTTAAATTTTTTTCAAGAGGTTTCACCTCAGTTCCATTTATCTGATGTCCTAAGTAGATAACTTCCGTTACCCCAAGAACACTCTTTTCTTTGCTGGCCCTCAGACCTTTATCACGAATTCGCTTGAAATCCTCTTCCAAACGTTGATTATGTTGCTCTG